TTATAAGAAGAAGAAGAAGAAGAAGAAGAAGAAGAAGAAGAAGAGAGGGGGAGGAGGAGGAGAAGAAGAAGCAGAAGAATGCGAGGAGGAGGAGGAGGAGGGAAGAAGAAGAAGAAGAAGAAGAAGAAGAAGAAGAAGAATTAGAAGAAGAAGAAGAAGTAGAAGAAGAAGAAGAAGAGACGGGCGACGGCAGTCCCAGGCGGCGGCGACGACGGGCAGCTGCTTCGACGGGCGACGGTGCTCCCACGCGATGGCGACGGCACTCCTAGGCGACGGGCGACGGCGGGCAGCTGCTTCGACGAAAGGACGAACGTGGCGGCTGGAGCAGGGGGCCCATTTGGAAAGCGAATGCAGACCTCCCCAGCCACTCGCTTGTTCAAACGGGGCCTCCTTTTTCCCTCCGAAAACGCATGGCCCACTGGCCGTCGATCATGGATGATCGACGGCCGGAGGGCCATCCAAACTTCAAAAAAAAAAAGCAGGACTCACGGGCCCGACGCGTCTTTTTCTCGGCGCGGTCGGACCTGGTAGGCCTTGCCGACGTCCAAAGTGGCCGATTCGGGGTCGGAAACCCCCCACTGGGCAGGTGTGCTGGGGGGGGCCGGCCCCCAACCGGGCCGCCCGCCCGGCCAGGCCGCCCAGGACCTCCCCCGGGCAGGCGCTGGTCGGCCGGGCGGCCCGGATCCGTACTCAGGTGTGTGTTGATTTGCCTCACACCGCCACTCTCTTTGGTCCGGTAGCGCCAGGCCTCTGCCGGCCTCCGAAGAATGCCGTATAGGTTATATTTATGACTTTGCTTTCTGGCCTGAATGGTAGTGGTGGTTTCAAAAGCAAAAGAACAAGAAAAACGACGACTTTGCCTTCCAGCCTGAAAGGTAGTGGTGGTCTGAAAAAAATAAAAGTAAAAAATCGGACTATTTCTCGATTTGTGCGTGTCATCATCCTCGCACAGGGGCTGTGCTGATCTTCTCTGTGTCGTTTCAATGTTAAGGGATGTACTGAAGGACAAGCTTTATTTTTCCTTCTTTTCCTTGAATGGAAGGATTTTGGTTTCTGTAAAAAGTAGCCCCTTTTGTTTTTTCTGGGGGGGGAGGGGCGGATATCACGATCGTTACGATTCCACTTTTGAACACCGTGTCCTGGCTGTAGTGGTTAAGAGACTTGGCTCTTGAGGCCGAAGTCGGCGGTTTGAATCTGTGCTTGCACGGAGGAGGGCTTAGGCCCAGACGTACGGAATCCATACTACTGTGCAAGTGTCCGTGAACCGCGGGCATTGATAGTCCCGTCTGAGTGAGCGGGTAAGAGTACCAGCGGGGGTTCCGTGCTGACTACAGAGCGTAGTGTACGAGAATTGACGTGCCCGTGGGTGTTGTGTGTGGTGTGTGTTGAGTTGGACACTACAGCCTTGTGGGGGTGGGGTGGATATCTCGACCGGTACGATTCCACTTTTGAACACCGTGTCCTGGCTGCAGTGGTTAAGAGACTTGGCTCTTGAGGCTGAAGTCGCCGGTTTGAATCTGTGCTTGCATGGAGGAGGGCCTAGGCCCAGACATACGGAATCCATACTACTGGGGGGAGGGGGCCAACTTTTGCGCAGTCACGAAAACAGGTTGAAAACGCATTATTCCAGGCATCCCTGTAACATAGCACACCCCCACCGGACCCTTAACCTAGCTTGTATACATTTAACATTTTAGCATTTTGTCTAGACTGCATTTTGAAATTGAAACCGTGACCCTAGGGGCATGAACCTGGCCGGTGTGCCCGGATCATGGGGTTCGTTCCACACTCCTCGGGCGCGTAAATCCCCCGAGGAAATGATCGTTCCACTTATCCTCGGGGAACAAATTGAAAAAAAAATGTGAAAACATTTCCTCGGGGACTCCTCGGGGATTCCTCGGGGATTCCTCGGGCTACAGCCATTTCGACGCGTTCCCCAAGGGACCTCGCGAGGTCCCTCGGAGGTCGAGCATCCGGAAGAATTGGGACGTCGTCGACAGCTCTCTCGACGACATTTTGTGACAACCGTCTGTACCACTGTTGTTCCTGGCGCCCGTGGACGGACATCTTCGATCGGCAACGGTCGGCGTCATGGAAGAGTTCGCCAACGGTCCCCTTTTGCGGCCCGGTGGCTTCCACGACGTCGAAAAGCGTCTTTCTTGCGTCGCCGCCGTTGTCCCCGAGCGGGAAGGCGCCCAACGGTCGCCAGATTCGAATATTTCAACCGTCCCCCGGCCGGGCGATTGCGCAATGTGTTCACAAACGGAATGCATTACCCTGCTTTTGTCGTTTGTTGCGGTTAGGCGTTTGCAGCAGTGTCCGTCGCCGTTACGTGATAGATCCCCCGTTGTCTACTAGCTGCCACTCTCATCCACGTGTTTCATGGCCGACGTCTTTCGGAGGCTGCCGCTGCTGCTGCTGGTCGTCCTATTGCTCCTCCTCCTGGTTGTCTTCCACGTGTGCATCCTCGGCGGCCTTCCACGACGTGGTCGCAAAAGGAGGTGTGTGAAGAACAACGACAGAATGGAGGGCCGGAAGGCGATCAGTGGGTCCGCAGGGGAGCGTGGTGGGCGGTGGTCCGGGCACAGCCCGTCGAATAGTCCAAGGCCGTCGGAGCGGTCCGGGCACGCGCACCTGCCACCACACTTGCAACCTCTGCCTGACACGGACGATGAGGAAGGGGACGATAGACGGTCACAGACCGTGCCGTTGGGAAGCGGATCCACCCAAGAGTGGGCGGCTACAGAGCTGTTTGGAAGCCGTGACGGCGGTAAAGGGCAGTCGTACACCGAACTCCTCCAGCAGGGGCTCAGCGACACCGATGGCGATGGCGGTGTGAATCTGTCGCTTGGACTCGGCAGCGGGACGTCGGCAGCCGTCTCTCGAACGGTCGTCGTGAACCCCCATCCCGACGACGATGGCGGCGACGTGACGGCTGTTCAGCGATCACCCAGGTCTCCAGCGCCGCTGCGGGAGGCTTCGGGGAACAACAAGGATCCTCCTAGGCAGCAATTTCGGTCGCCGTCTGTGTGTAGGGGCGCCTCCGCTCGCCCCCAGTGGATGCAGTCTCCGTCTCCCCTGTCCGCCGGTTCGAGTGCAGGTCGTCGTGTTGGCGAGTGTAGGGAGACAGCGCCTGCCGTTGCTGATGTTGGTGACGACTCAAACGGTCGCCCCAAAAATAAGAAATAAAATAGACACAAGGTAAAATCATATCAAAACGACTTCTGGCATCATCAAAAGGGATAGGGGTCAACATGGTTATCTCAAGCGCCTTAGTATACTCTACTTATTCACCTGTGTCGGTTTGGGGTACGGTTCAATCTACAATTGATTCTAGAAGTTTTTTCCCGGAAATTGAGGCCCTGTCCAATCATCCAATTTTGTTTTGTTCAGTAGCGCTAGCTTCTACGCTGTAGCAAATGCAGGTCATATAACTTTTCTTCCTAAGAGTCTTCGACACGTGACGGAAAGGAGGTGTGGGCAGAACAACGACGGTTGATGAGGTCGGTACGGGAGGAGTCCATAACTCGGGGGGTGCAGCTATTGCGTGTTGGGGAAGACGGGCACGACGGCGAGGAAGCAGGGGCGGACGCGCACGACCCCGACGGGAATGACAACGGCGCTGAAGGTTGGGAGGACGACGTAGGCAACGTTTCGCCGTCGAAGCAGGCGGCCGTTATGGGAGGGAGGGGCGGGAAGACGAAGTCGTGTGGCGGTAATGGTCGTCGGGGCAAAAGGACGGCAGGCAAGGGCAGCGATGCCGAAGGTGACGTCGATGGTGAAGGAGGTCGTCACTTCTGGTCCGTCGACGACATTATAGCCCTCATCCGGGCTAAACGTGATCAGGATGCGCATTTGCAGGGGATGGGCCACGCGTACGCTCGGATGAAGCCGCGGGAATGGAAGTGGCTGGATGTGGCGACGAGGTTGAAGAAGGTGGGCGTTGACAGAGAGGCGGATCGGATGCAGCAGTTCAAGAAGGTTCATCATTTCCAAGGACTGTCCGGGAAACAGGACTTCTTCCAATTGTCTGGGAAGGACATGATGTCGAAGGGCTTCAGTTTCAATATGGATCGTGCGGTTTACGACAAGATACTGGGGTCGACCGTCAAGAACCACACCATAAACCCGAAGAATGTCGCGGACACTGGCGCTCAGGGTGGTGTATGTCTGCCATCCGCCTCCTCTGCGGATCCTGAATCTGTGGGCGACGGGGACGGTGGTGCAGAGCATGACGACGACGACGACGGGTCCACCAAAGGTTCTTCGTAGACGACGGGTGGCGCAGGCGGTTTCGGCAAGAGGAAGAGCACAAGGCAGCAAACATTTGAGGCAATGACGGAGTGCATGGAGAAGCACGGGGCGTTAATGGCGTCAACGATGGAGAGCAATAGCAAACGTCATTGCTCCATCGCCATACGTCAGTGCGAGGCGCTGGAAGCGAAGATCGAAGTGCATAAAAAGCACTACGCATATGTGTCACGCCTTGCTGGAGATAGCGAAGGCCATCGGCAAACGTTAGACTTAGTGTCGCCTCTGTTGTGCTCTCTGTTCGCTTGCATGGAATTGGATGGAGCGAAAGTGATAGTCTTTCCGTCGTCGATGTAGCTTAGCTTAGCCATCGATGTCGTCGCCGATGTGCCGTTCCCCCAATGGTGGTGCTGGCCAAGGAATTGGGTACTGGTCCGATTCGGTGGATGAGTCCTTCAGTGAAATTTGTTTTCGTTTTTAAAATTGTTTTTTTTTTTTTTTACATTGTTCGTTTCGTTTGTTGTTGGCCTCGATCGTGTGACGGGACGGATGATTCCGTCAACTCTGAATTGTAATTGGCATCGATGAAGTGAAGAATGCACTTTCCTTTTTTACATGACGACATCGATTTCGTTCTCTCTCTCTCTCGTTTCTTTGTGTCTTTGCCGTAAATGAAATGCAGAGGTGTAATAAAGGTGCTGTCTTTAATGCCGTTGTTTTTCGGATTTTTCGTGTTCAATCGAAATCGGCTCCCTCTTTCTCTCCAGCGTCTGTTTCGGTGTATTCTCCTCAAATGAAATGCAATGGTGCCATGAAGGTGTTGTCTGTGCTGCTGTCCTTTTTTTGGTATGCATTTGCTAATGTTGTGCATACACCCAATTAGTCGTCGATTGAGTACAGGCGTACTTGGGTTCGATCAAACGT